TCCCCATCCATGCAGCGACACTAACCCGGCACCAACGCGTCCTCCCTCCCCGGCAGGGGTGGAGGAATCACCGACGGGATCCACGCGGGACGCGGAGCAGGACGCGGAGCAGAGGGCTCCCGGGACGGGCGCGCGCTGCCCGGCGGCCCCCTGCTCCTCCCGCCGTGTCCTCCGAGGACGGTGAGTCACCGCGGCTCGCGTGGGAGGGGAACGCGCCAGCGGGCGCTGCAAACCCGGCGCCGACTTCTCCCGAAAAGCAGTTTCTGAAGAAACTTTCACGCTGCAGCCTCCAGCCCCGGCAAAGGGGGAAGAGGAAGGCGCAGGGAACCTGTGTCCTAAAACAGCCACCCAATCCCCCCCAAACCTGCTCCTCTGTAGGAAGGGACCCCCCCTTTTCCTCGGTGGGAAGATTCTCGGTACCTTCACTTTCTCTTTTGCGTTGGGAGCCAGCGGATAATGAGGGATCTGGGCGGCCACATCCGACAAGATCCCTCGGCGACAGCAGGAGCAGCCCCTGGGAAACAGAGGGGAAACCAGCACCCTTAGCGCTGCAGCCGGGCTTTGGGATGGGATTCGATTCCCCCCAGCTTTTGGAAGCGACCGTTAACCGGGAGCTTCCCTGAGTCCAGGACTGGGCGAGGGGGGACAGACCTGAGACAGGGCAGCACTGAGGACCCCCCAGCATCACCCTAAAGCAGATGGAGGGACAGGAGGAGGGGCTGGGGATACCCCCCATAGCAAGGGGGGCCCCATTTCCAGCCCTGAGACCCTCTTGGAAAGGGGAGGCTGAGGGGGAGATACCGGGGTCCCCCCCCACAGGGCCTCCATCTCGGGGGGGTCCTATACATTTAAAGGGCTAAAGACCCCAAGGGAGCATAGAGTACTTGGGAGGGGGAAATACACATAAGACCCAAAACCTCAGGGGGGCAGAGGGTCCAAAGGGACCCCAAAATGCCCATGCCCCTCAGGCTAGAGGATGCAGGGCAGCCCCCCCTCCATAAACCCCCTCAGGACCCCAAACCGAGAGGGGACAAGGACCAGGACCCCCCTCCCGCCCTGCACAAACTGATGGGGGCTGAAGGGGGACAAGACAGAGCAGGACATGGGGCTCCGAGGACAACCGCACACCCGTGTCCCCCCGGACCCCCGTGAGCACCGGGATCCCACCCCCACCCCGAGCCGTGTCCCGGGGAGCTCCGGAGCCTCCGCCACCCCCGCGGTCCGGTCCGGTCCGGTCCGGTCCGGTCCGGTCCGGTCCGGTCCGGACCGG